TAAACTGCATTTTAGTACCGCATACCATCCCCAGACAGACGGTCAGAGCGAGCGGACGATTCAGACATTGGAAGACATGCTTAGAGCGTGTGTGTTAGACTTCGGGGGTAGCTGGGATGCGCATTTACCCTTGGCTGAGTTTTCCTACAACAACAGCCATCATTCGAGCATTGGTATGCCACCTTTTGAGTTGTTGTATGGTAGGAGGTGTCGGACTCCCATTTGCTGGGGAGAGGTGGGACAGAGAGTGATGGGCAGTACAGAGATCGTACTCCAGACGACAGAGCAGATTCAGCAGGTTAGGCAGAGGTTATTGACCGCCCAGAGCCGACAGAAGAGTTATGCGGACAGACGCCGGTCCGAGCTTGGAATTCCAGGTTGGCGACTTCGTTCTCCTGAAGGTTTCTCCTTGGAAAGGAGTGATCCGGTTCAGAAAGAGGGGCAAGTTGGGGCCCCGGTTCATAGGTCCATTTCGTGTGATTGCAAGGGTAGGTCGGGTAGCTTATCGGTTGGAGTTGCCAGCAGAGTTGGGACAGATTCACAATACCTTTCACGTATCACAGTTGAGGAAGTGTATAGCCGATGAATCGGCAGTGGTTCCGTTAGAGGATATTCAGGTGGATGCGAGCCTGAATTACGCCGAGAGACCAGTAGCTATCAGGGATCGGAAGATCAAGGTTCTGAGGAACAAGGAAGTACCTCTGGTGTTGGTTCAGTGGCAACACCGGAAAGGATCGGAGATGACTTGGGAGCCGGAGCGTGAGATGCGGGAGCAACATCCGGAGTTATTCGCAGAGTGAGACTTCGAGGGCGAAGTCTAGTTCTAGTGGGGGAGAGTTGTAACAGCCCGGAATTTCAGGTATTGCTTTAATATTATTTTTGGGGCATTTTAGGAAGGGACTCGGCGAGTTGGAGCCAGACTCGCCGAGTAGGACCACAGACTTGGTCGCGGGTTCGCGACTGGACTCGACGAGTCCAGATATGGACTCGGCGAGTCTACGCTGTTCAGCAGAAACCCTAGCCGTTTGGTTTTGGATCGTATATAACGCCCTATATGCCGTCATTGTCCGTCTTTTAGCCGATTGAGAAGAACCCTAAGCGTCTGTGGACATCTAGAGCAAGATTGAGGCTATTGGAACTTTGAAGAATTGTTGGGCAAGAAGGAGAGGAGTTTTGGCTAAAGGAACAGCAAGGGATTCGAGCCCTGAGGTTTGGGGACACAGAGAGTGTTTTTCAGGTAATACTTCGGATCATTTCTGTTATTTTGATGTGTGCACGATTTAGGGTTTATGAAACCCATTTGGTGATTAGATGGATTATTACCTTGTTACCCAAACGTTTATAACCCAGTAATAGGATGTTTAGAGGTCCAGAAGGTCCCATGCTTGTGTATTTCGGGACCATACGTATTTCAGGAAGCAGTTTGATCGACTGCATGGCATGGACTCGCCGAGTCCAATGAACAGACTCGGCGAGTAGCTTGAAGATTGACTGGGACTCGTCGAGTTGTTCTTCAGACTCGGCGAGTGGAGTCGGGGTGGCCCCGCGATTCTTCCACGAGGATCTCGTCGAGCCAAGAGGGATACTCGACGAGTAGAAAGGGAACATCAGGGAAAGTTGGGAGGACGTCTTGACTCGCCGAGTCGCCTTTGCACTCGACGAGTCCGGTTAAGTTGACCGTTGACCAGAGTTGACCTGCATGTAATTTCTTAGGGTCAGTTGTCTTGAATGATAAGAGTATTAATAAGGGTATATGGTATTATAGGGAGTCTGCAGATCGGCGGATCGAGTGCGAGTGATTTCAAGAGTTGATAGTTTTCATTACCACGAGGTGAGTTTTCTCACTATACTGTACCCGGAAGGGTTTGACTGTGAGACCGGAAGGTCGGGATATGATATGTGTTATATATGTTACAAATAGAAAGGTATTTGTTATGCGTTCTATGTATGTCTATATGGGCCGGAAGGCATAATGTTATGTGACCGGAAGGTCAGGTATGATATATGATATATGTGCTATATGTTAAAGTAAATGTATTATGTGCTGTATATGTTTATGGGCCGGAAGGCAATATGTTATGGGCCGGAAGGCAATATGTTACGGGCCGGAAGGCAATACGTTATGGGCCGGAAGGCGATTATGTACGGGCCGGAAGGCAATGTGTTGTGGACCGGAAGGTCAGGGCCTGGAAAGGCGTATATGTGTAAGTCGTATACTGGGGAACTCACTAAGCATTTATGCTTACAAGTTGTTATGTATGTGTTTCAGGTACTAGCGAGGACCGTGGGAAGGCGCCGGCGTGATGCATACACACTCCTGTTATTTGAGATCTTGGGATTTTATAAATGTATTTTGATATGAAACTTGGAATAAATATAATTAGTTGAATGAGATCACTTTATTTTACTTGAAAATTTTATTTGAAAATTTGCGTTGTTACAGTAACCACACGCGCTCCACTAACGACTTGGCAAGGTGAAAAGTGCAATTTCATGGAATAACACCATTTTCATATTTTTTCCTAAAGTAA